TAATAACATAAATATAATATAATTAAACATAAATATAAACAATTACATAACCTCACAAATCATATGTCTGTGTTATGTGTTTCCTTCTAAAACATGGCGCGCGTGCTGAAAAACTTCAAAAGCGGCATCTGAGAGTGGGCATTCTGATTGTTTATTATTCTGTGGCTTGGGATTTATTGACCACGTAATAGGTGGTGGAATAACGGATATCCTCCTCCTAAGTGCCTTCTCTATTGAGGTTGGCGATCAATATGGCAAATTTCTCTCTGTTCTGGGCTTGATAGATTAAGTCATTTCCTGTTGTGTGAGTCCAATCTCTGATGTTTCGGAGCCAGGATTTCTTCTTTCTTCCTATACCCCTTTTACCCTCGATTTTGCCTTCTAATATTACCTGGAGCTGCTCAAGTTCCTTATGGCGCATTATGTGTCCTAGATATGACGTCTTTCTAATTTTGATTGTATTAACCAGGTGAGGTCGTGTGTTCATTATTTCCAGTACCTCTTCATTTGTAGTTTTGCTGGTCCAGCTTATTCTTAGCATTCGGCGGTACATCCATATTTCGAATGAATTCAGTTTGTTGACGTCATACTGTTTTAATGCCCAGGTCTCACAGCCATATAGTAGTAAAGACCACACATAACACTTTAGTGTTCTTAACCTTATTGTGATTGATAGCTTGGGGTTACAGAGCATTTTACGCATGTTCATGAAGCCAGATCTTGCTATTTCAATACGTCTTCTAATTTCTTTTGAGTGGTCTAGCTGACTGTTTAGCTCTCTGCCCAGATATATGAAGCTTTGGGAGCTCTGAAGGGTGATACCATTGATTTGTATGTTGGGTGTAATTTGTTCATGGGGGTTCTTGTGGAATACCATGATTTTGGTTTTGGAAAGATTAATATCCAAACCTAGTCTGTGACTTTCTTCTGATAGTATGTTCATCAATATTTTTAGTTGGTCTTCTGTTTCTGCTAATACTACGGTGTCATCGGCATATCTTACATTGTTAATGATGATTCCATTGACTCTGGCACCTTTAGGGCGATCTTCAAGAGAAGCTCTGATGATATTTTCGGCATAGACATTAAATAGAAGAAGGGATAGAATGCACCCTTGACGCACTCCTCGTTCTATGTTTACATAATTGGTATTCACGTAATAACGGATATAATAGGGCCATAAACTTATTGCGAAGTAAATTTGAAATAAAATGTTTTAACAGTAAAGACTTTTTCATATTAAAAAAGTATGGTGTTTTCCATTCAATGAAAGTATTGGAAATATATGAAATTGAAGTATCTTCGACATAGTTGCAATTTCCTTCTAATTAACAGTAAGCTTTATTTTTCTCTGATTACATGCTGAAGAATTTGCGTTCAAAGTTTTGACAATATTTGTGCAACTATTTGTGGTAAATAAGACATAGCTCGTAGTAATTGGCATTTAATTTTTAATAAATAAATGGTAAATTAAAACAGTATTATTTTTTTTTAATTGTGGCTATCAAAGAATATAAAGAAAGACGTATTTTAGTGAAATATAAAATATGGTATATACCTATATAACGAAGCATACAAAAAGTATGCAATATTTATAAATAATTTTTAAAACAATCTTTGTGAATTTTGTAAAACTGGTGGCTATAATAAAAGTATAATTCCAATTCTTCTTCTTCTTCAAGTGCCGTCTTCGTTCCGAAGTTTGGCTATCATCAAAGCTATGCGTATTTTTGATGCTGCAGATCTAAACAGTTGGTAATTGGTGCAATTGTACCATTCTCTCAAGTTTTTCAACCATAAATGCCTTCTTCTTCCTATAGATCTCTTTCCCATTATCTTTCCCTGTATAATCAATTGCAGCAACTGGTATTTATCTCCCCTCATAACATGTCCCAAATATTGTAGTTTGCGCTTTTTAACAGTAAGTATCAGCTCTTTCTCTTTCTGCACTCTCCGCAAAACCTCCACATTTGTTACTTTCTCTGTCCAGGGTATTCTTAATATTCTACGATACATCCACAACTCAAATGCTTCTATCTTTTTGGTATCGATCTTTTTCAATGTCCATGTTTCCATCCCGTAGAGGAGAACTGACATAACGTAACATCTCAAAAGGCGAATTTTAAGTTTTAGACTTAGATCTCTTCCGCAGAACACCTTTTTCAATTTAGTAAATGTGGCTCTAGCTTTCTCTATTCTGGTTCTGATTTCTTCAGAGCAATCATTATTTTCGTTGATAACAGTTCCCAGGTAATTATATCTTCTTACACGTTCGATTCTTTGATCATGCACGGTTATGTCAGGGAAGTTTTGTGGTGATTTAGATATTAGCATTATTTTTGTTTTGCTTATGCTAAGTGATAATCCGTGTTCTTCACTGCATTCTACTATTTTGTTAATTAGTATTTGAAGATCTTCCCAAGTTTCTGCGATTAGTACCGTGTCATCGGCATATCTCAAGTTGTTTATTCGGATGCCATTTATCTTAATACCTATATTTTGATCCGAAAAGTGCTGTGTTTATAATGTTTTCGGAGTATAGATTGAATAAGGTCGGTGAGAGTATACAACCCAGTCTTACGCCTTTCTTGATCTCGATTTCCTCCGTTGTCTCTTGCTCTATTCGGATATTTGCTTTCTGGTTATAGTAAATCTTAGAGATAATTCTAATGTCCCTTTTATCCAAGTTTTTTTCTACTAGCAGTTTCATTAAGTGATCGTGACGAACTTTATCAAACGCTTTATTGTAATCAATGAAGCACAACGGAAATCCTTAAACTAATAGAAAAGGACTCGATTCACATTTTAGTTGAACTTTTCAATAGCATTTATACATCAAGAAAATACCACAAGAATGGCTTTTATCCACCTTTGTTATTATACCAAAAAAGATAAATGCCAAACAATGTAGTGATTACCGTACAATCAGTCTGATGAGCCATGTACTGAAAATATTCCTGAAAATTATATACTCTAGAGTACACAGGGAACTGGAAATGGACATCAATAATACTCAGTTTGGATTCCGAAATAGACTCGGAACAAGAGAGGCGTTGTTTGCACTAAACGTTATGTCTCAAAGATGTCTTGACATAAATCAAGATGTATTCATGTGTTTCATAGATTACAACAAGGCCTTTGATAAAGTGCGGCATGATCACCTAATCAGACTCCTGACAGAAAAGAATTTAGATAAACGAGACATTCGAATAATAGCAAATATGTACTACAATCAGAAAGCAGTAGTGAGAGTAGAGAATAATACCACTGAAGAAATTGAAATAAAGCGAGGTGTGAGACAAGGGTGTATACTGTCACCAACCCTGTTTAATCTCTATTCCGAAGACGTAATGAATAGAACACTCCCTGAGCAATCCGTAGTTATTAAAATAAATGGTGTTAGATTAAACAATCTGAGATTTGCCGACGACACCGTTCTGATCGCAGAAAACACTTAAAGAGCTACAGACATTGGTGAATAAGATAGCAGACTGCAACGAAGAATATGGACTATCTTTGAACATAAAGAAAACTAAATTTATGGTAATATCGAAATCAACACAAAATGTCCAAAATTTATATTTACACAATGAAATTTATCGATCGAGTTAGCAAATACAAATATTTATGCACTTTTATAAATGAAGACAACGATAGCTCAGCAGAAATCAAAATAAGAATAGAAAATCCAGATCCATATTCACTAAAATGAAGAGAGTGTGCTGCGGAAGAGATTTGAGCCTTGAAATGAAACTTCGCCTGATGAGATGTTACGTACTTTCTGTGCTGTTCAACGGAAAAAGATTGATACCAAAAAAAAGGAAGTCATATTTACGATCAAAAAACGAAAACTGCAATACTTGGGACACATTACAAGAGGCGAAAGATATGAACTGCTTCGAATAATTATGCAAGAGAAAATAGCAGTAAAAAGGTCCATAGGAAGAAGACGAAACTCCTGGCTAAAGAATTTACGGGAACGGTATAGCTGTAGCAACAACGAATTGTTTTGGTCAGCAGTTTCGAAAATACGTATAGCCCTGATGATCGCCAACCTTCGGAACGAAGATGGCACTTGAACAAGAAGTTTCCCAAGACTCGTGTTTCTTCTTAGATATTTTTCTTCGTACTTCTGCTTGATTTTCTTTATATTTTATTTTGACTTGTAATGATTTGGAGCTTAAATATTGTTGGTATAGTGGGCTTTTATATTTTGTTTCTTTTTTTACGTGTTCCTGGACCTTGTGCTACATTTTTCTTTAACTTGGACCAAAATTCGTAAATTCTTTTTTTTCCGTAGAGGTTGAGAGAGTGGTGTACATTGGCAAGTGCATCAAGATTTATTTTATTTTGATTTATAAAGGCACCCATACACCAATATATTTCTGCCTACCAGTGTTCCTTAATGAACTGAGAGCTGACAGACGAGTATTTGGATTCTTTAATATCATTTAATTTCATTCAATAAAATATAAAATAGGTAGAGTGGAGCTTAAAGGTCCGTGAGTATAAAGGTCCACCAAAAGTATCTAAAAAAGTAACGTATCGTTCTATCTGACTGTGCCGGAAAGAAAAGGTAGCAGACTTGCCACAAATCTATTATTTCGAGATTTTTACTCAAATTTTCCAAAAAACCTGTCTAGCCCCACTCGGTCTGTAAACTGTGGCACATATTATTTAAAAGTATTTACCATTTGGTATTAATTTATAAGCTCTATGTTTATTTTATTACCTTCCATTTCTGTAGATAACGTCATTATGAGTACGAAATATCCACAAAAGCTTTGAATTATTTCTAGAATAAATCTAATTTATTAATGAAAATAAATAAAACTTCACAATATACCCAAAATGTATGAACAAGAATTATAAAATCATTACTATATTTGTTGATTATTGGTCCAAAATAACAAAAACTATAGAAAACTATAACTTTGAGTAAGTTTAGATAAAACGAGCTATGTCTATACAGACATCCTACTGTACTAAATCACTTAATCTTAAACCGACGCCTCTTTATTTGAACTATTCTCCCCTCCGGTTCCTTCAATAGTTTCATGCTTTCTTTGTAACGCCTGTAACGTCAACGGTGGCAAAAGCGGGAAGTTTAAGCTCGCACCCGCAAAATTCGCAGCTTGTTGAAAATTGGCTACATGCTGCAAACTCTGCAGTAACGCCGCAGAGTGTTCTTGGGCTTTTCTTCTGAGTTCGGCAACGCTAGAAGAGCGCTGGTCTCCACTTCCCGGCGAGAGATCTGAGGCATCGCTTGTTGGCAGTAGGTTTGATGCTAGGCCCGAAAGAGGCTTTATCGGACAGCAAGAAACACAGTCCTGGAAAACCTGCAAAGAAAAATTGAGTTAAAGTTAGCTTAAATATTAAAAACAAAAAATTGTTAAGTTCTAAAAAGTGTATTTTTATGTTAAATATGTAATGCGGCGGGTTAGATCGACTGCTGTTGTGGTGTTAAGGGTTTCCGACGCCATATGGGGGTATTTGAACGAGTTAGGTGGCCAAAAGTCGAATTTTCAAAACGTATTATATAAAAGTATTTCTACAAAATAACTAAATGAGGTATATGAAACTTCCAAGAATTATACTCATCCCCTCATTCCAAGAAGAAAATGGGATTTAGTAATTGCTGTGTTATAAATTGTAAAAATACAACAAATAATTGTTGAAAAGTTATTTGGTGATTTACTTTCTCAAATCCAGTTTTTATTATTGCATCCATATTAACAGTAATGCTGTAATTTAATAATATATTTATTTGTATTTACACTATATAACGTTTACCTTTTAATAACATACCGACATAACCTCAATCTTACTTTTTTTTCTTATTCTTTTTTGGGGCTACGTCCTTGACAGTTATCCGGTAACCTCGATCTAACATGAAAGCGCAGTAAATTTTTCTGATTTACGACACCAGGTGTCGCTCTTCCGAACTTGCACGGTCCCAATAGTATGCCTTGAGCGTTGCCATGAAAGTTGAATATAATTTTTGGGTGTAAAGATGACCATAATATGCAGGTAAATTAAAATGTTCTCAAAATATGCATTTTTTCAAAGACTGACAAAATATGCAAAATATGCAATTTGCATATAATCCGCGCTCTATTGATAAATATATACCTTTCAGGAACATGTTTTTTATAAGCCAATAAATTCGATTTTGTCATTTTTACGATACTTTACAACGGCCATGTTAATATTTTCAGTAAATTTTCTATAACCGTAGGTTTTCCTCGTTTCCAACTTTTTTTATTATGTAACATCGTTCGGTCCAAAATACACTTCCAATATTCTTACCCTCGCCTTCTTATCACATCATTCGACGTGTCATAACCAAGATTTATACAGAAATCCAGCAATGAATCCCGTTATCTTGTTAAGTGAGTGCCGCGTGCGAGATCTCTATCCACTTAGTGGTGGCACATTTTGCCAATTTACCTCTACTTTGCACCTGAGAACTTTTCAATTTATCGACTTGCACGTTCTCCCGCTGGAATTTCATTAAAGGGCCACGCACTTTCTCCTTTATAACTTAATAATCAACGCGGTATTAACAAAGTGATAAAACTTAAGTGACTTGTTACAATGTAAAAACTTTTAGGACGCCATAATTTTTGGTGTTAAGTAAAATGGGTCCTTGTAACTTTAATTTTCAGTGACGTACCTGAGGAACTAATTAGTATATACGTAAATTTCAAATTTTACAATATCTCGATAAAATTGTACAATTTTTTCTTTAAAAATTGTCTTTAGCTAGCTAATATATCTATAATTTCTGTAAACTATGGCGATGGTAGCGACTGGGCGTATCAAATACACCAGGAACCATCATCACTATTGCCGGTCCCTCCTGGATAAAAGGGGGGTTCCTAGGTTCCTTACTAAGGTGCCATCACTGTCTATAGGCCAGTAATGAAAAAAAAACCAGCTAAAAATATTTTATACAGGTTTTTGAAGGTTCTAAAAGGTATACTCAATCGCAGGCCGAAATGAAGTACAAACTACACTCGCTAAAGGAAGAATCCGTGAAAGACTTGTACAGACGAAGGTTAGACCAAAAACTGGAGAAATTCAGTTTTGAGAACATAGACGAAAGATATGAACATATAAAATCCTGCATAAAGGAAGCAACAGCGGAAACCTTAGGTTGTGAAGAGAAAAGAATAAATAGATATCGACAACGTCTATCAGAAAGCACGGAAGAATGTATTAAGCAGAAGAAACAGTTATACCATAAATGGTTAAGCTCAAAAGAACAAGTGGACCTAGAAAGATACAGAGAGAAGAACAGAGAGGTACAGAGAGAACAAGATTAATAACAAAAGATAAAAATTATAACTGGGAATCAACATGTATGAACATCGAACAATACATAGGAGGTACAAAAGAACTCAGAATCCTGGAAAGTGATAAAGAGTCTGAAAGAAAACACACATAGTCCAGGCTGTGAGGCCGCTCCCGTTGGGAAAATGTTTCTGATTCGGTTTCTTCGCGGATTCCGGTTCAAAAATGTCCCCTTTAAACAAATCTGAAGGGTGCCGGGCGAAATTTTTGGGTAGAAATTGTTTAAAACAATTTTTTTTAAACAAATTCCAAAAATATTTTTTTAAATCTGGAGAACGTTTTTTTTAGGTTTTTTGGGTTATTCTAAACAAAAAAGGTCTCTTGTCATTTTTCTCTAAAGTTGATTAGTTTTCGAGTTATAAGCATTTAAAGTCTGAAAAACGCGAAAATAGGCATTTTTGAGTCTTGAAAACACATATGTAAATTATTATTTTTGAGGTTACCAGAGTGTCTAAATTGAAGTTTAAACATTCAACTTCAAGATTGTGAAGAGTAATCGGGACTTATTTTAATTTAGACCGTTGTTTTTTAATTGTTAAATATGCGCGTACACTCGATTTTTCAGCCGCCGCGGCGCGGCGCGCTAGAGTGCGCTTCTATCGTACTTATGCATAGTTTACATATACACTTACGCAAAAAAACCCGAACAAATCCTTGAAGTTTATTAACATAGTTTTTTCCATAATTTATTTATGTAGGTATTAATTATTGTCATTGGGCTAATTAAATAAATCAATCATCGCAATGTAATAACCGTATATAGTTTTTTTTTCTTTCAAATTTGAACAATATAATTATTATTTATTGAGTATATATTTATTTATATCAATTGTAAATAATATTTTTAAATTATTATTTAAATAATACAATGCAGTAAATATTAATATTAGTAAACTTAATTTTAAATTGCGCGGTGTTTACTTTACCTGCGTTTTATAACAATCGCGCGCTCATACTTGATTTGTTATTACTTAAACGATCATTAGGAAGACTATTGTTTAATGCCCATTAAAAGGGTATTATATTATTAATGTGTTATTAAAAAAATTGTGAATGGATTTAAAATGTCTTTTTCCGTACCTCTTCTTAAATGAAAACTTGACGAAGAAAATTTAGTTTGTATTTTTTGTAATAACATCAACAATATTAAGTTGGTGCAAAAACCTAAAGTAGATTTTTACATAACAATACAAAATGCTGCTCTTCGACGAAAAGACAGTGTGACTGAAAAATTTAATTTAATCTAGCCAATATACCTTGTACCTCTGACGCACTTTACCAACACTTGTTAAGAGCTTTCGCTAAAACATATATTTGGCGAAATGCCATATATTCCCGCTATCAAACTCTCGATTTTACACAATATGGATATTATATGTCTGATAGTGGTGGGTTGGGAAACCGTGCAAATGCAAAAAGACTTGCAAAACTAATACTTGCAACTGCAAGAAAAATCATGTCAACTGTGTACCATTATGTGGATGTGATTTAGATTTTTGTGAAAACAAAGATACTTTTACTGAGTGATATTAGTGTGTTATTTAACAATCTTTTGTACAATTATTTTATGTAACTATTATTAGACTTTAGACGAAATTTATATTATAACTCAATTGATATAAATAAATATATACTCAATAAATAATAATTATTTGTAAGTATATGTAAACTATGCATAAGTACGATAGAGGCGCACGGTAGCGCGCGGCGCCGCGGCGGCTGAAAAATCGAGTGTACGCGCATACTTAACAATTAAAAAACAACGGTCTAAATTAAAATAAGCCCCGATTACTCTTCACAATCTTGAATGTTTTAAACTTTAATTTAGACACTTGGTAACCTCAAAAATAATAATTTACATATGTGTTTTCAAGCCTCAAAAATGCGTATTTTCGCGTTTTTCAGACTTTAAATCGCTTATAACTCGAAAACTATCAACTTTAGAGAAAAATTACAAGATACTTTTTTTGTTTAAAATGGCCCGTTTTCCAGATTAAAAAAAATTATTTTTGGACTTTGTTTAAAAAAATTGTTTAAACAATTTCTGCCCAAAAATTTCGCCCGGCACCCTTCAGATTTGTTTAAAGGGGACATTTTTGAACCGGAATCCGCGAAGAAACCGAATCAGAAACATTTTCCCAACGGGAGCGGCCTCACTTTTTACTTTCATAATGGCGAAAAACAATGGAATGATTACTACCAAAATATGGTTGCCAAAACAAAAAAAAAACATCTGCTGTCACAATAAAACAACCGATATAATAATAAACAAATTTTTAAAAATAATTTTACTCATTTTTAAGAGTTTATTTTTCCTAATAATGTAGTATTATTAAAGGGAATGAATATATTAAATAAAACTTACCTTTAAGTGATGGGAAGAGTGGAGGCGAAAATTGTGAAGAAAGGTGAGATGCTAGATGAGGCGAAAAAAACAAAGGAGGTGTATTTCGTGCTCCGGAACTACCATCAATCACTGGTCTAAATCCTCCAGAATGGCTGTAACAAAAAGTTGTTGTTATTTTTGATTTAATTATTAATTTCTTTTTTGTTTGTAATTTGGAGAAATTTGTCAACATCAGGTTGGCAAACTTTTTTGCATATTTTTTGGGGTCCTAAAATTAAACACAAATCTCAACAAAATTCAGCTTCTTCCTCTCGTTTTTAGAGATCAAATCTCTGAGGACTGAATTATTATTGCTTAATTCGTTGAAGATTTGGAAGTTTTTTATATTAGGTTTCTTATTTAAATAAAGATCTATCTATCTCATTTGTAATGTTTAGCTGAATATATATATATATATATATATATATATATATATATATATATATATATATATATATAGATTAAAATATGATAAGTGTAAAAAATAGAATTAAAATATTAGGAATTTTTTTTGGAAATCCATTATGGCATGTTTAAGAAGGAGAAAATAGTTTTGTGGAAAATACGTCGTGACTAAAATTGGTTTTGATTGTTTGT